GTTAGGTAGTTCACTGTGTAAAAATTATCAGGCTAAAACATCTGGGAAAGAAAGCTATGAAACAGCAGGGAACGTGGCTGGTTTATTGTTTATCTTTTGTTTATGAGGCAGTATTCAAGTTTAATTACTACTCTAAATTAAACTCTAACTGGCATCAGGAGACATCCCTTTACATGACTAAGTTAAAAAAAATCTGGAAATCCCAACTCTGGATTTTTCAAGTAAGTTGATATATATAGGAATGAAATTACTCAAAATTAACAGGAATTATAGAAAGCTTTTAAGCATTTATGGGCAACTGTTACATGTTCCTAGAGCATGTATTTATTAGGAGACTTCAATTTTATTTCTCATGGCTACTACCTAAAATGTCCTAAGAACTTCAGCAGAATATACCTAAATGTTTGCTGGTGATTGAAGGATGGCTTTCATTTTTATTTAATTTTTGAGGGGAGAGAAAGGAAGTGCCATATGAATATTTTATATAGAACAGCTTCTTCTCTGGCCATATCCAACTGTCAATTATAGTTGGAGAGAAAAATTGTTGATAACCATCAGGAGGAAAGAGATGCTATTGTATTTATCATAAGTAAGTGACCAGTTTGGGGTGAACTCAACTCTAGGAAAAATAAAAGTTAAAAGCAACTAGCAAAAGATGATGCCAGATGGCGTCTGTCATATTGTATTTAGGGTTATTTTAAAGAGATTGCTGCCACTATGAAAACATTCCATTGACAGAGTTTTCCTAGACTGAATGAGAAATCCCAGCAGAGAATATTCAGGACCCTCAGTAAATGGGTTTCCCCTTTCCTCACTTAAATATATAACTGGAATATTTAAAGCAGAGAATATGTTATTTCATAACTGCAATATAGTCTAAACTCAAAAGCGTCATGATATCTTACACATGTTTAACTATGAGGGCTTCTATTCATTTCTAAGGGGACCTCTGTAGATTTCAACACCACTGTTGCTAAATAACTGTATAATAACTAAATAAATATCTAGCTGTGGGATTCTAGCCTCATTGCCTAGATGATAGATGGTGACATCAATGGAGGGGTCTGGTGGCAGAGTCAAGGGGAACCCTGCTGGCTTGTACAGCCCAGAGTCTTGAGCGATTAGAGATATAGATGCTAGCATGTTCATGTATTTAGGTTAATCTGGGTCTGGCAACAGTATGGTTAACGTGTGTGTGGTGTGCACTGTGAGCTCAGCAGTTACTGGGCCAACTGTCTCGGTATTTCTGGGAATCCTGCCTATTCACAGTGCAGGGATTGTTCAATTGCTGCAAAATGTACAAAATGAATTTTACAAAAATGAATTGTAAGGAAGGCCCCATTACAACGATTTTACAGCAAAGATGTCAACATCAATTTTTCTTTCATGCATAGCTAATGATTAAAACAGCATATTCCATTTGCCTAAGACAATTTATTTCATATTGGCACATCAAAATATTGAAATACAAAGTTATCTTTACTCTACCCTTTTTATTCACTGCTGCTGAACCCATACCATTGTTCAAACCAGGAAAAATAAAACAAACTTGGCACGAAATACTTAAAACAAAGGCTCATCAATATTCTCCAATTTGTCAACATCTCAATTACAGCACTGGAAAAAATGTAAATTTCCTGTGCTCTAAACACTGAGGGGTCTATTCTCTTGCCAATTCACATGTGTAACTCCCATCAGCGTTAATGGGAGTTACACAAACCCATCAATAATAATAATACTTTGTACATATACTGTGCCTTTTATCTCAGGCTCTCAGAGTGCTCTAGGAACAAGGAGGCTGCTGCTTAGTCTTCACTCTGGAAAAACACACAGTGGAACACAGAGCATCGTCTGAACCAGCAGGTACAGGACTAGAGACACCAAGCCTTGTTATCAAACCCCAGTTTACTGACTGCAAGTCAGGCCCAGAGCTGCACCCTAATTCTATCCTTGAAAAAACAGGTTTCCTGCCTCAGTCTAATGCAGCTAACGAGACAAATGCCCTCCCTTTGGCTGCTTTTTGAAAACAGAAAACCTAGTGAATGAAAAGCTGGGCTTCATATTTACACAGTTGACTGTGTGTGGCTAGAGAGGCAGTCAGACAGCAAATTTTCTGAGTTCATTTCTTCCGATATTAAAAATTTCTGTTTTTTTCCTTTTTTTGGTTTATCATGCAAACACCTACATGAAAAGATAACCTTTCATTTGTGTAACTACAGCTCTTTCAGTGTCAGGTCATGAAACAAAGTGTCTTTAGGTTCCAAAGTAAAGATTTGTTAGAATCATTATTGTAAAAATATTCACAAAAATTATAAAGCAACATAAATGAATGTATTGTTTTATAGCATATGGCTATTAAAATTTAATTTAAAATGTGTATGAAAACATTGTATTTAGTACAATTCATCCCTAGTTCTTCTGTTTATCATAATTTGTTTGGAAATTGAATCGTTTTACAGTTTTCCATATGCCTGTTGTGCTAATAAATTCTGAAGAAGTAAGAAAGTCTCTTGTGAACTGCAAACTTAGATTCCAATGAAACATTATGATATATTTAATATGAAGAACATAAATTTCCCTCGCAGGTTTTCCATTCTACATCAGCCCGAAGATCTAACCTATGATAAGCATATGTGATTTCAGTCAATACCTCTGCTGACTTTGCCCTGAAGCAGATAATTAATCTTTCCCACTGAAAGCTACTCTGAGCATTTTTGTGGAACAAAGTATCAAAATATCTTGAAAACATGTTAAAAAGATTATGGGAGCAAAACATACTTAAGCCTGGCCTTCAAAATTTAGGGTCTGCTGTCAAAAACAAACAAAACAAAAAACCCAGAACACCCCAAGATGCATGTGTTTTAACCACTGACACAGTGAGCCAGGTAGAAGAATTCTCTTTGCATGAACAGTCTCCATTTTATAGAAACAATAACTTTGCCCCACTTTCTCTCAAACTCTAACACAGTTGAGGGGGAGGAAGGGGAGACAGTCTTCCTAGTGCTCACATACATAAGCCACCGTGTCCATTCTTTAATCCCACAGAGATATGATTAAAGGAACAAAATGCTTGGGGGATCAAATCCTTCAGCAAGGGATAAGTGGGTGCGGCTACCCGCAGCAAGGAGGGCTCAGTGTTTTCTTCCTCGCCAGAGGATGTCTTACATGTCTTTCTTTCTTGACCAAAAACCCTTAATAAAACAAAAGTGACTAACTAGAGTGATAAAACTTCATGCTTTGTCTGCTGTGGTAGCTATTCCCTGCTCCAAAGCCTCCATGTTTTGCTTCTCCTGCCTCCTCTTTCTCTGACCCTTCCTGTTATCCCTCTCACCATAACTCAACTAACCCAACAGAACCAGTCAGTTTTAAATTTCAGTTGGGACCTTGGTGACCTGTTAATGAATCTACAGAGAAGAGAAAAACTCACAGTGCTGAGTTATGCCTGGTGTCGCTAGCTGACATGGAGTCAGAAATGCTTGAAGCGTTAACGTAATTGCAAGAATGTGAAAAATGAAGCGCTGGGCTCCTGAGCCAAGTGAAAGGTCAGAGGGAGCCTCACACAGGAGAAGTTTCTGGAAGATAGCCTCATTAGGCCATTAAGTCTGTTTCTCCTTCTCCCCCAACCCCCACCCATCCATGAAATGTTGAGGGTGTTTTGTTTTTATTAATAGATATTTCAGCCTTTGTGTTGCCCTAACTTGGGGCAGTGGGGAGGACTGAATGATAGAAAGCTTTCTGCATTTGACCCGGGGTCACTGGGAACCACAGTTAAACCTCTGTGTTGCAGATCCACAATTGAATCTGCATACACGATACCTTCAAAATGTTTTAGGCTGGAGTTTATTTTACAAACAGTTCAACTGATGTATTGCATATAACTCATAGGTTCTTCTATACCTTGCCATTTGATAGTTCATCATCTATGAGTCACAACTTGTTTAAAAAGACAGACTCTAAACAGGATTCGCTTGCAAGTGAAAGACATCCTAGAAAGGGCACTTTCTAGATCCACTTGGAAACCCAGGAGTCCCAAACCCCTGGCCAGAAACATGGAAGAAGGTGGACACTCACAGGACACCAACGACTCCCTTTGAAATGGCCTGTATAATTACAGCTCAAGCTATAAAGCAGTATTTGACTTGAAAACCTGTCTAGTGCTTAAATATTGTGGCCGTAAACAGAATCACAAAATAGACTTAAGATATCAGACATCATCTAATGTAAAATATTAAAAAGTAAAATCTATACACATTCCTGGACCACATTCAATAATACATCTTCCTTTAAATTATTATTTTATCCATAGAAGAGTCATCTCTACCAATATACAATTGCTGTCTGTTGTAAATGATAAAATTCATTCCAAATTGCAGAAGACTTCCTTGACATCTGCACTTGTTCTTTTTGCCTTCTGAAACTCTGTCATTTTAAATTGGGACAAAAGTCACTATGTCAGCTGTATAAACGCAGGGGCAAACAATATTTGAAGAATTTCAAAGTCTATCTTCCCAAAATAAGAGTCTGTATAAATCTCTCCACCCCACCCTCACCCCCATCCCCAGTCGGTATTTCTGGAGTAAATTAGAACAGATTTTTGTATCTTACATGCTTTAGAGTCATGGCTGCTTTAATTATAAAGAACTCCTATAGTGATTATTACAAGCAAATATCCTATTTATAGTATAATTCCAACTTTTGGATTATAGCAGTTAGGCAGGTCTGTCTTTCTGCTACACACCAAAGTAGTGTAGATAACCACATTTGTAAGAGAATTGGCAGAACCAATCAATTATTATTGTAATGTGGACTTAAAGATTAGATAACTCATTCTGAGTCTTTAAATAAAGTAACAAGAGAAACCCCGCCTCTTTATCAAGCAACTGGTAAACTCCCTACTTCCTTACCTGCCCCTCTCCTGTTTATACAGACTGATACCATGAAATATGGAAGTTATTTTGGTCATGCCGATTTTTGCACAAGGAAAATTCTAAACTTTTTACCTTGCTCACTGCTGTTGTCTCCACTCTGGGAAGCATGGCCCCCACTGGAGGGTCCAGGGGTGCCTGCTGAATGAGTTGAGGTTGCATCATCATGGTCTCGCCAGGATGAAGGGTTCTGATGTCAGGATGCCAAGGAATTTTCCCACAGTTACCATTTGAGCCATAAATGAGGAACCATGAAGACAGACAGGCACAGAGGGAGAAAAAAAAGTGTGTACATATTAGTATTTTCGGAAATAACACAGACATGCTATTCTACGCCATCTTTTTTTGCTGCATCAGTGGATACATTTGTTAAAACTGACATATCTCTTCTAAGTGTGTACATCCTATTATACCCAAATTTACATGAAAGTAAAGTTAATTTCTGAAGTAAGGGAAAACTGCCTTAAAATATCTTTCTCACTTTTTCTATTATAATCAGGACACATTTTCCTGGTACTCTCAGACACAAAATCCATCAGAACATGAGGCTCTGCAAAATCCAATATTCCCTGTAAAGGAGCACAGGATCAACAACGTGTGGTGGACATCTCCTTACACCTTTCAAATGCATTACCCTAAAATAGTCTATCTGAACTCTCCAAATGTTATCAACAGGTAGTTTGTATAAACAACACAAGCAATATTAATTGGGTCATCAGTATCTCAAAACCCACCAAACCCTGTTTAATTTGCGCAACTGGTAATTTTTAAAACGAAACTAACATGGATTGCTTGCCACCTTGCAAGCAAGCTGAGACTTTGGCTTTACGCAACTGAACAGAGGCTTCTTGAAGAACTTGAAGGAGGGCAAGGCAAACCCAGAGGTACCAGCTCGTGCTACTTTGCTAATATATTCGTCTCCTGTTTCCCTCCACTTTCCTGACCATTCCCAATACCACTGCTGTAGCTTGAAGGGAAACAGGAATTCTAATGTACAGGAAGGACTTTATCAGCACCACATGAAGGCAGGCAAGAGATGGAATTTCCTCTGGCAGACAGGGCGAGCAGGAACCACACATGAAACACAGCACTTGGAGCCAAAGCTGTATACTTGTCACCTATGTGCTATGACTGACTAACCCTGTGGACCTACAGGCAAGTATATTCTTTAGAGGATGGGGCAATAGGGTGCAGGACACAATTTTAAAGATATCACAAGCCTCAGAATTGGTAAACAATAACTGAGAACAAGAATAGGCCACCTACAAACCACTTGGTTATGTGAAAGTAATCTTGCCATGATACCAGGACACAGACTTCATTAGGAAAAAAGTCAGTCTGTCATTTTTCTCAATACTAAGACTATAATACCTTCAGATAGTGCTACTGAAATAAAACCAAAGTAAGATAACTGAAGGAAATACTCTTACTTGTAACAACAGCAACAGACATTCCCCCCCTATAGATCTTCTAAAAACAGAATGTAAATTAATACTTGGAATTTGGGGTAGATGATGATATGATCCAGATCTCTGGGATCAACAATATCAATGTCAAATAGTCCTGCCAGCAGTGTCAGCAGGCAAGCTATCAACTCAAAGTCAAGACCTTGAGCAGAAATCATGACTGTAAATACAGTTCAGGTTCAAATCTCCACAACAAAGATGTCATGGAAAAAGAGGATTAAGGAATTAGCTGAGCATGGTAGTACATGCCTATAATCCCAACACTCAGGGCTCAGGCAGGAGGATTGCCATGAGTTTGAGTCCAATCTAGACTACACAGTGAGATCCTGTATCAAAAAAGAAAGAAGGAAAGAAACAGAGGAAGATGGAAGGGAGGAAGGGTGCAAGGGAGAGAGGAAGGAGGGAGGGAAGGAAGGAAACAAGAAAAGATTAATTATTAAATGAAACTGAGTAGAATATATTAGACCAAGCTATCTGTCGCTTTGCAGTCTCTTCGTATCAGACATTTACTGATTGGTGATCACACAAAAAGCTAGAAGAATTTCAGAAGGGGGGTGGAAGAGAAGTAAGCGAGGCATGTGCTTATTCTGCAACACTGTGGACCGCAGGGTACTTTCCCCTCACTAAACTTTCCAGTGTACACAGCCAGTGATGTTAATTTTACGCACTGCAGGCTTTTTATTAAGCTGGCTGCTATAAAAGCTCCTTACCCCTCATGAAAATTACAATAATTAACCACTAACACCTCAACTATGTTTTAAGGCAAATGTCATCCAACACTATTATATAATTGTTCGGATGGAGCCAGGACAGGTCTTTCTGTTAAGCACTGGCATGATGGGAGGGGCTCTTGCACAAGCAATTCCTGAAGCTGAAAAACATTATCAGCCTGGCCTGGGTTGGACTCTAAAGTCAAGCCTTGTTAATTCATAATTTAGTATCTCTCGGTGGCTTTTTGGAGCAGGTGTCTTCTAAAGTCATATTTGTCAACATTACTAAGAGAACAATGACTTCTCCCACCCAAGTTAGGTCTCGGACTTTCAGTGTGCTCACCAGAGTCTCTCAAGTTATCTTATCTGTCATTCCCGATCTCTTCCCTCTTCTCCTCACCTCTCAAAAACATACCCTCTTGAAAAAGCATCACATTTCCTTGGTGTCTCTTGTGTTATGTTCAGTGGAGGGACTGGAGCAAAGTAGAGGGAACCTCATGCTATTCATCTAATCTGCAGAAGGATGGACAGACAGATCCCTCTGGGAGTTCTGGGGCAGAGACTTTCCCCAAGATGTCTATATAAAGATACACAAAGTGATGTGATCATATATAAAGACAAACATGGTTAAACTAAGCAATAGAAACAAAAACTTCTCCTTGGTAATAAAACTAAACACACACACACACACACACACACACACACACACACACAACATAGACAACATAAAGCATTACCCATAAAACTAGGTTTTTCTTAGAGTAAAATATTTGTGTGTATCACAGCTTCCTTGTTTCCCCCTCTTAGATAGTTTCCAAGTTTTCATCCTTCAAGAATAACCACCTGGCCCTCTGCCAAATTATAAGCAGAAGTTGAGTGAATCCTGAACCAGTGTGATATACAAAAGCATGTAAAAACACATGACGTACATAGAAAAATAAAAGGGAATTGATTCGGCGTGCATCAGTGTAGATGAGAACTTGGGTATACACATTCCACAATACATGTCCTGTTCTCCAGCCAAAAATACCATGAAGACACCCCAGGGCAAGGAGGGAACATGTTTCTATTCCCAACGGCTTTAATAATTGGGAGTCAAAGATGGTACTCCCCTTGTTCTCTATATAATTGCATTAAAGAGCAGTGTTACCAGGAGAAAAGCAGTGAATACCGAGTAGTGCACAATAGGAGATGGGAAATAGATACAAGAAGCTCCGTCTCCAGGGGCAGTTTTTTCTATTTGCTGGGCTACAGACTCACAGCTGATAATGCAAGTTGTAATTAATATAAAAGCAAGAGACAATATGGGCAGAGCTTGTAGGAGCGGGGCCACAGGAGAGCACTCGGCTGCTCTCCTTGGCTTCTCATTTGCACAGGGCTTTCCCTAGAAAACACAATCCTGCCAGTGTTTTCTCCCTTGAAAGTTAAAAAAAATTGATTTAGCACTATCATTGAATTTTGCTAAATCTAGAAAAGAGAACTGAGAGGACAGGAGTCTCTGGGTACAAGAAGCAAATCCTCTGTCACTGCTTTTGTTGAGGTTGCAGATAGACTGCAATTTCACTTCAAACCAGAACAGCACTTCTGTGAGGGTCCTGCCTATAAGATAATACTTAAGAAGCCCTGGCCAATTGATAGTATTTCCCGTATCAAAATATTCCCCAGTGTGCACAGTTCATTCATGGGGTCACTGGGGTAAACTGCTCGAGAGTTTCTAAATAAAACTGTAAAAGTAAAACGTCTTCGACTTGAAGGAGGAAACAGGAACCACCACTGCATTTAAGATTTGACAAAAATAACCTGAGCTCATTCTTTTAGACTCCATATGAAAAGTTGTTCCCTGAATGTGGGACAGCGGAGAAGACAGAAGGATAGAACCAACTTTTGGGGCCACCTCTACCAGGTCATGTGGCTGGGAATAAAGGCTTCACCGACATCCTTTTGGACTCACATCCTTTATCTCTTTAAAATTATGAAGTCACACAACGTAATTCCCAAGGTCATGCCCACTTACGTCTATTTTGAAAAGTACTTCAAAAATAGCCCACTGTTTTTTTTTCCTAGAACCCATATAACTAAATAACATAAAGCCAAGAATTATATAGGAAGCATGAAAACACAGTAAAGCAATTTAAGACATGCATTCATAGCTACACTGTAACAGAACACAGTCAAAGACATGTTCATTAGCTGAAGAGGTACACACTCATCTCACTTGGCACATTTAAACAACAAAAGGAAGGTATATTTTTGTCAATACTTCCAGTTGATATGAAGTTACTCATGTCCTACAGCTTTATGGTCTTTTAAGTTCTAATTAAAAGTGTAGACAAAACTTTTTGAAAAGATGCAAGCATTCTTATCCTGGGGTATTCAGATCCACAAGTTTAAAATGTTTATAGTATGGTTGGGATAAATGTTGGAATTTCAACTTTTCAATTGTGACGTTGACAAAGAACTCAGAACACCAGTGTGCTTTTAGAAGCCAGAGGCTTTAAAAATGTAAATAAAGCTGGAGATTTTACTCAACATTTGCACCATTGAATCAGTCTTTGGGAATTAATGCATAGGCACATCTCACACAAGGGCAACGCCCTTGCAAATGATTGTTGCATTGAGTGGTGGACACTCAAGGAAGACAGAAACGCATTTGTTACTGCAATAAGTGCTGAATACTTTCTATGATTTTGAAGTGTGCTGGGATAGCCCACAGACCAGTTAGTACTTAAACAGCCAAGACACTGATGCAAAATAAGACCTAGTCTTCTCATAGCATTGCGAATGTCTGTGTGACTGCCAAGTGTACCTAGGTTCCCTTTCACCACAGTTACACTGAAGACATACTCCAACTGCACAACCTAAATAACTTAAATGATGTAAATATCCTTTGAGAAATAAACAGGAATGCTTCCAACAAGCAGAAACTTCAACAGCAACAAATAACAGAAAGCCTTGTCCTCCACCAAGATCCTTAAGAAGGGACACTAGGTTCCAAAGTAAAACTTTCCAAAATTGGGTCCCAGAGGCTTTGAATAAAGTGCAACCTAGTACCTAATATCACACGTCAGTATGAGCAACTAACAGACAAAAGAAATCACTCACGTTATTAATGTTAATATCAAATCTCATTATTCTTCCTTCATCTTCAAAAGACCAAGTACTCAAACTCAAGCCTCTCCTCACTGCTGTCATCACGTCTAGTTTTTTAAGTAATAATATAATTAAATACCAGTACTTGACCATTTTATGTCAAGAGCAAGATTCTGGTAATTCTCTCCTCTGACCTAACTCATATAGAAAAAAAAACTCTATCAACATAAATATACTTGACATATCCAGAAATGCAAAACAATAGCAGCATATGTTCATTTAAACTTCAGCACAGAAATGAAAGTAAAATGTCATTTACTTATGATGTTATCAGAGCCAGCCAATTTTAAGATACCTGCCAATTCATATTAATTCACATAACTATATTTTCTTACTTCTTTCAAAGAAAATAAAATAGAGCTGTTTGGCACTGTAAACAGGAGTGTCATAGCTATATAACCATATGTATTACAAACAGGTGTAGCTAGGAGAATATATTTCAAACAAGTATACTTTGGTCATGTAAACCTGATGTAAAGATATATAATATATTTATGCATAAATATTATGATGATAAAACTTGTCTGCACTATATCTAAAGTTGATCTCAAATTATATAAAATAGGAAATTTGGGTATTACCTATTTTTTATTACTTCAACAGTCTAGGAAAAACATAATTATTTTATGACAGTTTCCAAGTTGAAACTTAAAAAGAAAACGCTTTCTTGGCATGTTTGTTTTAAACATGATAAATTTGAATGTCTGGGAAACTTAACATTAGCTGCAGCTGGAAAACACAGTTGAGTTTCCTTTGATTATCATCTATTTTTCCCTCAACAGTATCCTGAAGATACTATCATAGCCATTTGCCACCTGCAACAATTATCCTTATGCTATAGTAAAAGTAAGAGATAATATTAAAAAAATAAGCATCCCTAATGAATTGACTTAACATAGTATAACAGCCAAAGTTGCACATTTTATTTTGTCTTTGGTTCCAAATTTCCCCTTATCATTAGGCACATCATGTTTGTTAATAATAAATGAGCAACTCCAGCATCCTCACTGAATGTGAAGAGTGGAACGCAAGGCCATTATGGGTCTTCTTTTAATGCAACTATGTCATATCAGAATACTTATGTGGCATTATAAAGTATGAAATTAGCACAATACCCAGCAATAGTACATTAAAGTCATTGCTAAAAGTCCGCTGAGAATACTGACTTTGAAGATATTTATTCAGTTTGCAACCTTCAATCATTTAGATTTTCAAGTATTTTAATAAGAAAATGGAAAATTATATTGGAACCTAATATCCTGCCCTTGATAGTTCTTTCATTGCTTTTCAGTGAACAGACCTACAAAGTTAGTCTTTCATTTTTTTCTTTCATTCTTCTCCTTGCCTGCTCCCTCTACACACACACATGCACACACACACACACACGCATGCACATGCATGCACATGTACACACACATGCATGCACGCACAATGTAGCTTGATACCACTTAATAAGGATAGAGGTGTATGTGTTTTTGGGGTGTCAAACAGCTGTCACAAACTGTCACCTCCACAAGAGAAACCTTGGCACACAATAAATGAAACTACACTTCTTTTTTAGCTGTCATTATTCATAGCCAATAAGTTGAACTGCTCACGGCATTTCATGTGCAAATAAAACCACGAAGTAGCTCAGTAGATCAGAATAGTGGGCCAACAGATAAAACAGAGAAAACAACACGCTGTCTGGGTCCTTCTGAAGTGGCTGATCATCACCCTGCACCAGCGTGCAGCAAATGAGATCCAGCCTGGGGCAAGGCATTAAATATGCATATCAAAGCAAATGAAAAAAATCAACCTGATGACTCAAATTGGACACATTTATATGCTGAAAATGTCCCCCTTACATCACTTTCAGGTAGGGGTTCTGTGGTCTTTTCCCTCTCTTGTGACTGAGGGGTGGAAGGATGACAGGTTTGTAGGAACGGGTGAAAAGCCTTAGAATGATGCCCTTTGTCGGTTAGAAGGGGGTGGCCTAGGAACAAATGCAGTCAATATGCCCATGGTACCTAAACCGCTGCATAGCCTTCAAGGTTTTCTCTCTAGTCCCGCATGAAACACAAGCGTGTGGCAGACCTCTCCATTTCCCTCTCAGTGTGCTGGTGGAACAAATTATTGCTTCATTTCAAAACAAATAGCAGGGGGCTAAAGCAAAAATGCTGTAGTTCAGATCTCTAGGAAATAAAAGGCTTTAAATTATGACGCCCAATGAGGTGGCAAGCCCTCATGGATTCAAAATAAATCAGTTGTCATATTTACTTGATTGGGGGCTTGAAAGGGTAGCAACGAATGCTACAGTTGACTCTTTTATCCAAAGATGATGATTGTTAAATTATTCAAGCACTATTCTCTTAGGTACCACCTCCTTCTTGAGTCTGTATTTAAATATTACGATAGCTTCACAAACTGGCATTGTGTATCAGTCAATACTCCAAACTACCTAGCTTATCTTATTTCTTCTATGTAAGCATCAGCATTCCCTAACTCCATGCATCCACCAGAAAAACCACTGTCAAGAAACGGTTGCAGAAAACCAAATAGTCACGGCCCCACAAAATGAGACGAGAAAAAAAAGCTTTTGACGTAGAAGGAACTAGGGACCTCTCATGCTCCAAACCGTGAGATACGTCCCTCTCTGTCTCTACCCCCATAATACAAATGCATACAAACTCAGAAACAGAAAGCGATGAAAATAAGTGAGGAACAAAAATAAATAAATATGTATGAAGTGAACACTCCTCTTGGACCACAAGAACACACACTGTAGAGACACAGGGAAGCAAAGAAACTTCCAATAACTGCTATATCTTTTTGATTTCACTTAACACATGCAAGGTACAAAACCCCAGACCAATTCCACCATCACCTTAGAAACAGGCAAAGGTAAGGACAAGTGCAGGGGCTTTCAGCAGCACAGCATTTACTCTGTATCAGAGCTGGACACCCTACGCTATGGTTTCCTTTCATTAGTCTAAACTTTCAAGCTGCTGTCCCCCGTAGTGCGAAGGTTAATCTTTAAAATCAATGGCTGCTTCTTTTCGAAACTTTTGGTAGAGGGAGGTAAGAACTCACAGAAAAGCCATTATTCCTCAGGTAGTTCAACTCATTCCTCTTCATACTCAGGAATTTGGGAGTGGGGAGTACAAACTGCCTTCACATCTCAATGCCTGTTTAACTTCTATGGAGTGTTAAATGAATATTTCAGCCATGAAGTTATCCGGACTATAGCCTGTATTATCTAGGCTGTGAGTTCAAATGAATGTATAGACACTCTGCCCCCCCCACCTCCCTGCTCAAGTTCCCCAAAATACACTGCTACTCACACCTACTATTTAACCTCAGCACCCAGCCTCCCCTACCATCCCTGCCAGCTGCAATCCCTCTCTTTGCTTCTTATTCAGATTTTGAGTATCACTGCATATGCTTTTTCTTCCCCCCATCAGATTCACTCGATCAGTTCCAAAATAGGATTAAAAACAGAGAGAATAGAAATCTCCTTTCCTGGCTTGACATCCATGGGCAACTTGTACACTCTCCATCCTCAGTCCCCAACTGTTAAAGTGCTAAAGCACAACCACTAACCTATGGTTCCTCAATCTTAATTCCCTTCAGCCTTCTGTAATACAGTATTAAAAATGGGTTCATCAAGGTTGCTGTCTTTTATTAGAGAGATGCTTCAGGCACTTGGCAATAAGTCCGTATTCTGACAATAAGTTTCTATGAGCAAAAAGTCCTGAGAATTGGAATGTGTTCATTCACTTCTCTTATTGTTAATGCAGTGCAAAATTGCCAGGCATTCTCAGGATTGTCTTCTCTGGGAGAGAAATAGGCCCCCAATTTTCCCAGTCCTCTTCTTGTTACCACCCCCAGCCCATTCGCGAGTCCCTTGGCTTGTCTTCTCTTTTGGTATCTCTGATGCCTTGATTACACACAGAAAGAAACCAGAAAAGACAGAGACCATCATATCAAAAAGAGAATTTGCTGACACCCAAGTCATCAGGTCTGGGAACTTTACCCACTCAAAGCACAAATCATTCTATCAACTCCTTGGTTCTTTGACTCTCAACATAAATAAGGACAGGGTCCAATAAAGAGGAAATGAAAATAAAGGCTGTGACACTGGTAGGAGACAGGGAGGGCAAACTCCAATAGCCACCATTAAAAAACAAAACAAAGCAAGCGAACTCCATACCACAAGGTTTTAGAAAAATGCTTTGCCCAGTGGCCTTCAGAGACATTCACCGGCTCTGCACACTTACGTGATCGGCAAGATTTGTGGAGGATCCTGAAAGTTCTTCATGATCGGACTTGGAGCTCCCATCTCTCTCGTCAATCACGAGGTCAATGGGCATTTTCCCCTTCAAACAGCTAATGTACCGGTGGCAGAAGTTATCACACAGTTCGTGGACCTAGGAGGAGGGTCATGGCGGAGGCTCAGCCCATGTTGTCTTTATATGTTTCATTTTTCAAGAGGAAGAATATCAGGTTGCAGGGTTACATTTGTAAAGAGCAACAATGTGATGTCTTCCAAAATAACTCTAATTAAGGGGTGTAAGAGCTAACAGCAAGGAAACAATAGAGCAATTGTGGCAATAGATATTATTCTCCAGAGACTCTCCAGAGCAACAAGTTACAATAAAGAAAAGAAACTGGACTGGAAGTAACTGGGTTCAGACTGGAAGAGTAGAGAAAAAATATGATTTGATAGTACCTTGGAAACATTTAAACTCTAGAACTGGGGACATTTGGGACTTCATAAGCAAGGTGTTGCATATGCTTCCTGGGGAAATTATTGATGTATGTATCAATGCAAAGGCATCCCCAAAAGGACTATTCCCTCTACTTGCAACCAGTGGGAACCCTGGGCCTAGGGTAAGCTGAGCTAATAGAGACACAAGTAGACATTGTGTGAAACAACACAAATGGCTTTTGCTATACTTCAAATAATCCTGAATGCCTGGGGGTGGGGGACTTTAAAAGGCAGGGCTGCCCTGATTCCCATATCCTCTGAGCCCCTGGGTTGAAAAGTCTATAAAGGAGGGAAATAGGAACGTGATCAACATCTCCAGATAAGTAACCCTTCTTCCTGGAGGCTTGTAACATCCCCAGTCATCTGGTTGAAAGAATATGGGGGTCATCAAAAGGGGGGCTGTTGCTTCTTGCTTACCTTTTCTAACTCCAGAAGATGAAACCTTAGTACTTGTATTGCTTGTATCATCTGAAAGGGAAATTTAAGAGGATGGAGTTAGGGTTCTGGGACTTGCAAGCCTGTGTGTGTGTGTGTGTGTGTGTGTGTGTGTGTGTGTGTGTAAAGGGGGGTGTGCTGAGGGAATTGGGCAGAGGAGGAAGAAACCAGCAGGTGACTGGGCAAAACCCACACATCAAGAAATAGGAAAACCAAATGATTACTGATCATCTCTGCCTCATTGGTCACAGGGGTGGGAACCAGTATAAAGAGTGGCCTTAGTCTAATTTTTCCCCTAGCCCTCACAGTGTGCTGTTGGTAAGGATTGCTTTTCTCCCACCGGTCTTGTTTTACTGTCTCCTCCTACCCTCCACCTCAGGTCAAACTGGAGGAGGGAGAGAGAAGAAAACATGAAAATATAAGAGAAGAAAAGAGAAGGGGAGAAGAGAGGGGGAGACGAGAGGAGAAGAGAAGAGGGAAAGAGCGAGAAAAAAGAAAAAGAAGAGAGGAAGGGCATTTCTTCGGATAGAAAGGCTTTTAAGAACAGCAAACTCGAGCAAGAGCCTCCTCTCAGAAGAAGGAAATACTCCAGATGAATGGGGAGGCAGGGCCTTTGAAAGAGGATTTAAGTACTTTTAATATTGAAATCCTGCAAATTAGCAAAAGAATCGCACCTAAAAGTGGCCTGCGCAGGGGAAGCCCCTCACCCCTTACCCATTCCTAGCCCGCCCTCGGCCGCCCTTGCAGTTACTTCCTTCAAGGCAGTAGCCTGGGACTCGGCCGCCTTCCCGGCCGGCAAAGGAAATCGCTCCCTTCTCGCCTCTTACTCCCGAGACCGAGACCTGGGAAGCATCCCCAACTCGCCGGCTCGGCGCCGTGGCGCCCGCTGCTGCCTCGGTGGGCTTCTCCTCCCCTGAGATCCACACTGCCCCTGGCTCATCCCTACCCCTCCAGGAGCTCTAAATGGGTCCCCTCCCTTGTGCTTCCCTAGCAGGGCTCTGCAGCAACTGCTTGGCGCTCCAGTAGCAGAAGAGTGTAACTCTGAGCTTAGGTTGGGGCCGAGACTGGGGACAAGCAAGAAACAGAGCCTTACCAAATTATCCAGCTCTGGATTTGAGGAAAAAAGAGGCTTTTCAGCGCGAACCTATAGGAAGCAGGGAAAGTCAGCATGAATCTCCAGCCCATTTAAAAAGAAAAAACCCTGTCGGCAACTGATCTGGATTGAGGGAGCGGGTCCTCTGGAAAGGCAGGGCCAGGAGAAAGGACAGGGGCTTTGGTAAAATCTAAGAAACAGATTGGTGTCTTACGTGTGTGGGGTCAGTAGAGAAACTGAAGGGCCTGACTCTGTGGGGAGAGCCATGTCCTACTCCAGTTGTGGCGGAGAAGGCAAGGCAGCTCGCGGATTCTCTGAACCCGCTTCTGCAGCCTAGCCAGGGGCTAGGTCTCCCCACCTCCCGCACCTCCATGCTTGTGTAGACCTCTCTCCAGGCTCCTTGCTTCCTTTGCTCCCAGGCATTCCCAGGTCCCTCCCAGCCCCTCTCCCCAATTCTTGTTCAAGTAGCTGCAGGCGGGGAAAAGGCCAAGCCCCAGATTAGGAGCAGGTCAACTTTAATTCGAGGGTCGAGCCCCTGTATTCCTGGCTGGGGGGAAAAACAAACACCCATATTTATCTCCGTTTCCAATTCGCCTCCAGGCTAAGGGATGGGGAGGAGGCGCAGAGTGCCGACTGGGCCAGAGGAACAGATCGGGTGTCCTGTCTTTTCCTCCTCTTTCAAGTCAAGCTCCGAGGAAAGGGGAGGGAGGGTGAAGGGCTGCTGGGGGGTGGGGGTGAGCGGGTCAAGAAGGTTGGACCTGCTTGGCGAAGACCGCGATGTCCTCGTTGAAGGAGTCGGAGGAACAGACGTCTCCGCCGGCCACTCCGGGTTCCCGGGGAGTGCAGGTCGCCAGCTCGCACTTCTCAAAGACCAGTGCTAACAGAGGAAACAAGGGGTGCCTAACGGGCAGCGCCACGCAGAGACACACGCACGAAGACGGGGTGCAGAGGGGAAGGAGCAAGAACTGTAATCAACAAGTTTGGAGGGTTTGCATTCTTTCTTTAATACAACAAGCACGCAACACACTACACCCTCAATCGGCCGAGCCTGGGCCACAAACAGAAAGGAAACAGCCTAGACTTTTCCCTTGGTTCATAGGTCTTTTCAGATCAGCCCTGAGAAGTCCCAGCCACTTTAGTCCACCAAGTAAATATTTTCTCAGGGTGTAATGAAATAACCAAAATCTCAGGCAATTTAAACCTCGAAGTTGTTCCTGATCCTACTATTCACTCCAGAGGTGCCTACCACCCAACTCTGACCTCCAGGACAGGGAACACTATTTGAATTTTTTTTCTCTCTCTCCGCAATCTTAATTGATCTAACGGGCATTTCAGACGAGGTTGAGGGCTTCACCTACATACACACCGGAGTGACATTTCCCAATTTTAAGAAAGTGTTCTAATCTCTTCACCCTTTGCTTTACAAACTTGCCCGCTCTGCTTGCAGTAAAGCTCCGGTGGTAGGGCCAAAATAGTAAGAATGTTCAACTCGAAAGAGCTGACTTCTAAAGACCACATTTCTCCCAGCGTTGCAGCGCACCAGAATAAATAAACCGCATTTCAAAACTTGGAAGTGTGCATGCCGGGCGCGTAAGCCCTTTGTGTTCCTTCGGGAGGCTTAGCTACACCTCGGGATGCTTGAGGCCTCAGGCTTTAGGCTCAGTTGCTGTTTATACACTGTCCCCTCCCCTCGGCATCCCGCCGCCTTCCCCACCTACCCTCAGCCGGAAGAGCCCGAGTAGTACAAGCTTGGACCCTGCTTGCCCACCCCTGTCCAAGCTTTCCGAATATAAAATAATTTCCAGCCATTTCCCCGACTCCCCCCTAAGAACGGTTGTATGCAAGCGGCAGTCTCTTCCACCCGGCTGCACTTCAAGGTCTGCCCCTTTATTTACAGAGAATTAAGAAGTGGGTGATTAGGACTTCCTGGCCGACAGAAGCTGCCCTGATTCCAGCTCAAGCTGCGCTTAGTGACTCCCAGGCCCTCAGTAGGAAGCAGAAAGGGGAGGGGAGGGGAGAAAAAGAAAGCAAGGAAGAGAGAGAAAGAGAAAAGAGGAAAGAAAAGGGAAACTGGAAGTTTCTCCTCGGCTGCAGAAAACTTTACTCTTAGTCAAGGCCTCTGTAAGGCAGCCCAAGACAACCAGCCGTGCGTCTTTTGGCCAGGAATCTTGTCCTTGGGGAGAAGGCCGGGCCAACAATATTTGAGGACTTAGTCCTCAAACGGGACTGTGGGGTCTGGAGAGGCCGAACCAAAGGAGTAGAGAAGGTTCTGTTTTTCTGGTCTGTGACTCAGGGGCCGAGGAGCCGGCTCCCTCCTGTGTGTTTCCCTACTGCAAGCAATCCTCCCATGCAGAATGAAGTCCCCACTTATCCGCCCTATCCACCCCACCACCACCAGAGACAAACACACGCACTCACGCACACTCACACACAGTAAGCTGGGTCCGGGGGTCGGTTTACCCGTAGATCGCGTCCTTGTCTCTTTTCAAGGCGTCGTTGACAGCAGATCCCATGCTGGCTGGCATGACATTAGGGTGCGGGGCGTGCGCGCCGTAGTGCTGCGTGGCGTGGAGCGGCGGCCCGTGGTTTAGGTGGTGAACCGGGGGAATCGGCCGCGGCGCATGAGGGTCTCCGTACATGGAAGCAGGAACCCCTACTCCGTCCATCCCGCCGTAATGGGGCAGCTCATCGTACTGTCAGAGCCCGGCAAGTGGGCGGGGGGGGGTGGCAGAGAGGGCGAGAGAGAACCCAGGAGGGCAGAGGCAGGAAAGCAAAGAAACCCGGAGCAAAGAAGGGAGAGAACAGAGGAGAGGGAATGGGGTAGAGAAGAGAGGGGAGAGGGAGTCGGACGAAGGGGAGGGAGGGAGGGAGCGAGCGAGCGAGCGAGCGAGAGAGAGAGAGAGAGAGAGAGAGAGAGAGAGAGAGAGAGAGAGAGAGAGAGAGAGAGAGAGAGAGAGAGAGAGAGAGAGAGAGAGAAACAAAAATAAAAACAAAGTCAGAAAGAAGAAAAGTGCCGGACACAAGTTGAACACACTACAAACCAAACCAGCAGAAACAACAGAGTCGAAAGTTTGTAGATGTCTGTAAATTTTAAAATGAAAAAGTCTCCGCCGAGAACAGCATTCAGGGGGCGCCGAGGGCACAGGGAGGCCCCGCTCCCACCAGAGGCTTCAGAACCCCAACGAGCCAACCAAGGGAGAAGTGGAGTTAGCTAGAGGAGGAAGCCCCGGATCCCACCCCTAACCCCCCTTCGCCTCCTCCAGGAGATCCAATAAATCAAAGGGCGAAATGAAACAAAATAAAGAGAAGAAAAACGCTAATAATCAGGCCGAGAACGCCTAGGACCAGGGAAGACTGGGACCGGTGCCTCCCCGGGGGTTGGGGGCAGAGGGTGGGGAGGAATAACGTGAAAGTTACCAGAAACATTATTTAGCAGCGGATTCCCTGCGTCCTTGTCAATTTCAGAGACAAAACAAGCAGCCCAGGCTAGTCTAGGCAGCACGGCCCCAGTGGCGGCCCCGGCGGCGGCGGCTCCTACGCAGCCCGCGCCCGCCCGGAGCCGCACGAGCAGCGGCGAAAGAGGCGCAGCAGCGGCGGCAGGAAAACCCGGGGAATCGCGCTGCCGGGATAAAAGCTGGAGCGAGGCGAAAGCGTGTAGCAATTGCACACACGTACACACACATACACACACGTACACGCACACACACACACACCACTCACACGCACTCGCCGCCCGCCCGCTCGCACAGCGTTGAGACACGCGCGCCCAGACACGCACACACGCACGCACACACACTCTCACACACGCAGAGGCACGGGGGGGAAAGAAGCCGATGAATAATTTTGCTACTATTTTTTAAAATATTGGCCGCCATCATCAAGCAAGAGCAGCAGCCAGCTTGAAGGGAGAGGAGGCATGGGGCAGGGCCCTGTAGGAGAGGATTTATATCTAGGTAAGTGTTGGAGATTTAAACCTACCCTTTGCGCCATCAGTCTGCGCTCCAATAAACTCCTGGATGTGTCGTATATTTAATATCCCAGTCCGGATAAGAAAGTGAGCTAAGCTGAAGAGTCTTTTTTTTTTTTCCAAACCAAGGAGACTTCTCCCAATTTTCCAATGTTTTTTTAGGGGGTTGGGGGAAGCCCAGTCAAGAAAACGAAGATTTTTTTCAATGATATTTCTTCTTTTTCTTTTTTCCTCTTCTTCCTCCTCCTCCTGATCTTCCTCCACCTCCTCCTCCTCCTCCTCCACCTCCTCCTCCCCCTCCCCTCCTCCTCTTCGGTCCTCCTTTATCCCCTTTTCTCTTCTCTTCCTCTCAGTTGAAAAAAAAAGAAAGAAAAGAAAAAGAAGAAAAAAATTGTCAAACCCCCGAACTGAAGGTTACGAGCGGCCAGTCAGCAGCCCACATGTAACCGAACTGTCGAGTTTCATGGCTTTTTGCCACTCCAGCTGTCAATCAAAGCCCGGAATGTCAAGGTAGTGAATGAATGATGGTTGATGATGATGAAGAGGAGCAATCTTTCAGACTCGTTTTTTTTTCTTCCAGTAAAACTCCGCGAGGGGTTTCTTTTTCTTGAATTTTTTCCTTCCCCCTCCCCCCGTCTTTTAGCTTTGCCCCCAAAATAGCTCTGATATGATCCTCTCTCTTTAAAGTATTGTTCAAAGAAAGAAAGGAGAAAAATCAAGAAAAAATGAATAGTTTGCAAAAATTGGACTTCCTCCCCCCTTTCTGGTAGGTATTTGTCTCTCCCTCTCTCTCTCTCTCTCTCTCTCTCTCTCTCTCTCTCTCTCTCTCTCTCTCTCGCTCGCTCGCTCGCTCGCTCTCACTCGCGCTCCCTCTCTCGCGCTCTCTTTCTCTCTCTCTCTCTTTCTCTCTCGCTCTCTCTGGGAGATGAGTGAGTGTCAGTAGGTGTTGGCAGGTTGGCTGCAGCCCGGCTTATAGTAGAGCCTCAGTTTGGCGGCGCGGGTCGGCGGCGGGAGAACGAAATGACGGAACCCGGAAGTCGTGGTGGCCATAGCCCGTCGTACGGCGGAGACACATCCCGGGAGTGGGGAGCTGGAGCGAGGAGGAGCGCGCAGCGCGGAGCCTCTGATATGCAGCGACTGCGGTCGGACGGCCCGGGGGGGGGGGGGGAGCTGGGGGAGGGGAGGCTGGAGCCGAGAGGACCGGAGCAAATCAGCAAGCCTGCTTCTCCAGGGGGACGACTCGGGAGGGGGAGGAAGAGGGGAGGGAGGGGGATAAGGGAGGGGGAAAGGGAGGGAGGATGGGAGGGAGGGAGGGAGAGAGAGAGAGAGAGAGAGAGAGAGAGAGAGAGAGAGAGAGAGAGAGAGAGAGAGAGAGAGAGAGAGAGAGAGAGAGAGAGAGAGAGAGAAGAGAGAGAGAGAGAACACGCGTGATTGGGGAAGGGGGAGGAAGAGAGAGATGTGGAAGGGAACAGGGAGAGCACAGACAGGAAAACTGCAGAAAGCCACAGGGAAAGTACGGTACAGCCTCAGATATTTTTATTTTAAACTTACTTCTAGTTTATTTCCCCACCACTCCTCTTGGCTCCTGCCTATCTGGGTCGCGTTGGGGATGTTTGGCATGGCGCTCTCGCTTTTGTTCGTTTTAATTCCTCGGCCCCCTTCCTCTGCCCGCGGATTATTAGATCCCGAAGTCTCCTGCTAACAACCTAGAGCAGCAAGCCCAGCCGACTGTACCACCGCCAGTCTAGGTTGTTGTTGTTGCTGTTGTTAAGTAGCACTTTCTTCCTTGTGCAGATGCAGAACCCTTGTTGTCAATATTCATTTTTTTCTAGTACAAGATGGGAGCAGCTTAACTGCAAGCATAGTCCCCCGGCGAGCTGCAAACAGTGGACCACCTCGGAGAGTCTAGGGGTCCTGGAAAGAGGAAGTGAGACGAGAGTTAGTGGGGTCTGAGTTAGCGGGGAGGGAGTTGTTTGGTGTTTGTTGTTTACCGATATAGCCAAGCGTGTGGTGTGTGTGTGTGTGTGTGTGTGTGTGTGTGTGTGTGTGTGTGCAGTGTGTGTGCAGGCGCAAACGCGCGCGACCTGTGTGCGCCTACAAAGTGAATCTTGGATCTGGGAAGCACTGGAGGAGAGAGATTAAAAAGCAACTGCAAGAGAAGATACTTGTGAGGAGTGGCTGTCGCTCGCTGCCCAGCTTTGTTGTGGTTGCCCTGGGCTCAGCGGCCGCTCGGCTGTAACGAGGGCTAAAGGCCGAGTTAATTACACCGGGCTGATTTCTCTGGGTGGAGACGATGGGATTGGTTCCTAACGAACTTTTCCCAAAAGGAGAAGGAGGCGAATGGGGTTAGAAAGGTAAATACCCGACAAGGTTTTGGTAGAAACTTGTTCTGGCCGGGGTCCCGTTCAATCCCTGGCCAGAGTTCCAGCTGGCTTTACCTCTGCGCCGCTGCTTCCCGGAGGCTGCGCGTCAATCAGGCTGAGCGGAGAGTTGGGGGCGGAGCTTTGGTCACCCGGCGCGCGTAGCTGGGCTCACCCTGCCGCCACCCGGCAGCTGGCTGAGCGACCCAGCCAGGCACTGGGAGCGCGCCTTCTCCCCAACTTCTCACCCTCGCCCAGGGTTCTCTGCCCGAGGCCAAGACGACCTCAAACAGACTAAGGGACTGCTGTTCAACCGCGGCCTCCCTTCCCAACTCTGAACACATTCTGTAAAGTAGAAAGCAGCGCCTCCTGCTCGGATGGCTTTGACTGGACTTTCTCGTGGGGGCGGGGGTGGTGGATGGGAGTGGTTAGGAACAGTAAAGTGGGGTGTGTGTGTGTCTGTGTGTACGTGTGTGTCTGTCTGTCTGTGTGTAAGACAGACAGAAACAGAGGGGGGGTGGAGAAGGGTGGGAGGGATCTTTTTGGCCCCCTTTGCGTCTTGGTTTCTTCATACGCTTCCGAACATCTCAAACTAGCCAAGACCACTGCCCGCCTAGACTCCTTGTAGAGTCTGAGAAAATTTGGCCTCGTTTTCCTGGGGCTGGGGAATGAGCTCCGGAGGTCAATAAAGCCCTCCAAAAATGATGAATGATTGAGCACCTGTGATGATGATAGTGATTACCAGAGCAATTAAACAGTTTGATTAAATGAGCCATCATAACAATGATGTCTGCGGGAAATCGGCCCTCACATATAAAGACAGTGTGGAGGGGCTGGCAGAGGCGCGGAGAGCGCGCCGGGAGAGGGGATGCGACCCGTGCGGGTTTGGCTCCAGTAGCCAAACCAGGGGCGGCGAGCTCAGGGAGCTTCTGGAGGCAGTCTAGCCTAGGGTTTCTGTCTCTCTTTCTGCCTGGCTTCAAGCCTTAGACAACCGACCCGTCTGGAACACGATGGACCATAGGGTCCTTTCCCCCTCTCCTCCCTCCCCCCTTTTTCCTCTCTAGAAGAACTCCAAGATTACAAATATCCACTTCATTTGATGCTGAGTTACTCGCCGACACATAAGAAAAGGTGAGTAAAAAGAAAAGGAAAAGTTATCTCCATAATTTTATTTCAAGGGGTGGCATTAAACTTCAGTTTAGCCGAGGGAGAGGGAGAGGGAGAGAGAGAGAGAGAGAGAGAGAGAGAGAGAGAGAGAGAGAGAGAGAGAGAGAGAGAGAGAGAGAGAGAGAGAACAGAACAGAGTGGAAGGACCGAGAGACAGACAGACAGGCAGGCAGGCAGAGACAGACACAGAGAATGTGAGAGAATATCTGGCCTGGCTGAAGACTGTTCTCTGCTTCTGTGGATGGTACTGGCTGGGTGCAAGTTGTCGGTCTAGCGCGGCTGACAAAATTTACACTCAGTTTTGACTCTTCTCATTGTTCCTAATTTCAACTGGGCTATTTATTATCGCTAGTAGGATTGTTACTATTTTAAAAGTGCTGGTTAAGTTAAGGCCAGTTAGAAAGTTTCTTTTTCAAAGGAACTCCTTTAATAGATGTTTCTTTTCCCAAGAACAACTTCGTTAGAAACATCTGCATTTTAGTCTAAGTCTTAGAGATTTTTTGACACCGCTACTCACCCCCTACCCCATTGATATTATGAAGCGATTTAGCATCCCAGTACCCTTTATGTAGTAAAATTTCACTAGCATTTAAAATAGCAGTAATAAGGTTTCTTCCTGAATAAAAATTCAGACAACTTGATTATTTCCATATTTTAAAACGTTAAGGAAATAATGGCTTGATTAACTGGTAATGATTTGAGGTTTTACAAGAGAAGAAAAGTGTAAACTCTGCTTTGTACGGTGGATAGTGCAGAAGGGTTTTAGCTTGGACCTCTTTCTTCCTCTCTTTCAGTATGTAACTTCTTATGCATGTTGTGGAATGCATTCAAATAAACAAGAGGACATTGTGGTTAAATGCAAGAGGCAGAAAGGAGGGGTATTTTAAGATATTTGCAAAGAAGAAAGATAAGTTTTAACGTGGGAGACTTTTTGCTAAGAAGTGTGGGATGGTTGAAAATAGCACACTACTAAGGAACATCTGTATGCCTTTTAAATTCACTTCATCTAAAAGGAGACGCTGTTTTCTAGTGACTAACACAGGATTTGTTACTCAGGCGCATGCTACTGGTGACACTGTTAGCTTAAATGTCAGTTTTAAAATCCACCACTGCAGTCATTACACAGGAGACCAAGTTAGAGTTGGTTCAGGGTATCTCTCCTGATGACTGTGATGACTTCAAAGAACTGTGATTATCAACAACTTGTGGATGTTTTATTAATGCAACTGCAAAGGGTTCTTCTAGGTCAGGATTGCTTCTGTTTTCCATCCTTGGTTTCCCTGGCTGGTAGGAGCCTTTCCACAGAAGCGAGGTGTCCTCACTTTCTCTCTTCCATTTGTGTGAATGCCTTGTTTTCCCGAGCTCGGCACTCCACTCTCTGGTTGTGGATTAATTTACTCTCCCACATTTGAGGTGAGGGGAAATAGGTGGGGCAGCCTCAGAGACAAACAAGAGATGGGGGTCACAGGCACCATGCACACCTCAGTCAACAGTCAGCTCCTCCTGCCAGGCTGGAAATGGTTTTAACAGGCGGTAAAATTTCATCTTGCGGTGTCAAATTGGGGTCATTTTGGGGTTAGAGTTCTCAGTGTCCGTGAGGAGCTGTCCAGCTGTGTGGGGACTCATTAACTGCAAAGATCTGTTTCAGTAAAAACAATTCAAAGACAGTCAGAAGGCTAAAGACTCTCTACAAATCGCATTTTACAAGTGCCCCCAGAACAAATATGGTTGGTAAAACCTATTTCTTCACAATCCCAAATCAGCTACTTAGCTCTGGAGTGGGGGGGTGGGAACACTGAATTAAAAAGGAGGTGAGGGGGGCTGGAAGGGGGTGAATGAGGAGAATTGGGCCTCTCAAATTTAAGAGTCTGTTTTTAATCACCCCTTTCTTATTGAAGCATCCCCCTAGACTTCTGAAAAGCCCTCCTTTCTATTTCTCCTTTTCTTCTTTTGATCCCTTGTGGAATGTTACTATAGGTAACATTAAGGATTTAAAAGAATAATGTAAGCCCCCTAGTTCTGTAGTTCAACGGCATTGGCTTTCGGGAGGGGAGTTAATTTGAAGTAGCATTTATAAACTGGAACTTTATTTTAGCTGAACTCGTTCAGGCTTCTTGAGGTGGTATTTGTAGTTGTTCTTTTTATATACCCCCCTCCCCAATTTCCAGATTCTCTGCACAGATAGCTCTGAATTCCTCCGAACTGTGAGGTCCTGAAGTGCTAATCTGAGCATTAAAATCACCAGATTTAAATCCCTTTTGTCTTCTTTACAACAGTTAGAACAATTGATGCTTTACTGCAAGGGCAAGTAAATCCAGCCTTAATCTTGTTTGCAACTTTAGTTAATGTTTTGATTTGGAATATTTTGTATTAAGGAGACTTTTATGGAAGAAACAAACCTGAGATCATGTTTGATTTGGGGAGGTTCTGTTCCTCAGTTTGAAGAAAGACGACTTACTTCTTGCACCTAAGAGTGTTTTCATTGGTTCAAGGGAGAGTTCATGGTTAAAATAGGTTAAACATGTGAAATGCCAGGATTTTGGTTTTTTGGACAAAACAAAGTTGATATTTAAAAGTAAAGTATCATTATGAAGGATATTGATTTCCTTGAATTACTGAACCTAGCAAGAAAAAAAAAACCTCAAAACACATCATCTATTCCCTCTTTCTCTTTCCACACTCCATGTCTGTTCCCAGGTTTTCTGTTCCTATCCGCACTACTTTCCTTTGGATTCTAAAGGAGGGTGAGTTTTTGAAGTCCTACTCCTTTCTCCGGGCTTCCCAGGGTGTTTGTAAATTGTTCTTCAAAGATTCTGTGGCCCTGCAGAAAGAGCCCTGAGCCTAGTGTTATTGGGACAAAGGCACCTGGCTGTCTTTTGCCTTGTCTTGCTGACTGACAGTTAGAATTTTTATATATATTTTATTTGGTGTTTCTAATAAAGTGTTTGTCGTCCCCCCCCCACTTCACCCCTTGGAGCCACTTATTACTTTTAAAACATCTCTTCCCCTTAAACCTCTGCTCATCCTTGTGAACTGTTTCTGACCTTCCCAGCAGTATAAGTGAGACTAGAAAGAATTCTGCTCATTTCCTTACCTGTCACCTTGGTTAGTGTTCTTTCTAGATGGAGTCTGCAGAGGGAAGGGGCCCTTGTCCCCTTTCCCTACCACCACCTTCTTGGTGTTTGCTTTTGTTTCGTGTTTACTTTTTTGCTTTTTTACGCCTTGGTGTTCTATTATGGACTCTTCTCCCTGGAAATAATGCCATTAAAGCAACCTACAGTTAAAAAAAATAGGATAGAGTAGAATTGCTGCATTTTGCTTTTTCCCTGTCTAATTTCTTCCCATTTTAGCTGTTTCCCTGTATCGCAGGAAGAGCGAGTTTCAATAAATAGCCCTCTAGCGCTATCTGGCGGGGCTCCAAAAGCGCGGAGCACTAAGGCGCTGTCTAGTTTCTCCTTCCCGCGCCCTTCTTCTTTCCTCTTCTTCTATCTCTTGTCTCTTCTGTTCTCTGTACCTTATTTCCAGTTGATTCTTTGCCCCCTTCTGTTCCCTTTCTAGTCTTTATTACAGTTTCCAGTGCAGACAGCGGACCCCGCACCCGCCAGCACCTTAGTCCTTGCAACTAGAAGCCAATCCGGCCACCCATATCTCGCAGGCTTTCCGGTCCTGATCCAGCGTGGTTCACTCCCATCTTCTCCCTCTGATGAGCACCTTGTGGGTGTTAAATGTGTTGACGGTCTCCACGGGCGGTGTTTTGAAGGGGCTTAAAACTACAATTGAGAAGTTTGCTGGAAAGAAACAAGACACTGAGATTCCCAGTTAGCACAGCCTGGCTAAGTTTGAGGCCTGAAGGCCGGGTCGCCCGGTGTGAATGGAAGGAGTCTTCTCCGGGAATGGGACAGAAAGGCAGGGCACCAAACCTTTGCCAGAGGAATGTGAGTGACTTCGGTGGAACACGTGCTCTCAGAACCCCACGAGAAAGCTTTCCAAGGGATCGCCTCAGTCTGCAGACCTGCGCCCAAGGCGCCTGCCCATTTTCTCCTTCTCAATTAACCCGAGCTATTCCCAGCATCCCCACTAAAACATTCACAATCTGGAAAGAAGTGTCAAAGTGGGAGTAGGAAAGACCCCTGGAAAACCCACAGAGAGGAGCCAGACAACATACACCGCCGCCGAGCAAGCCAGTGGTGCTAAACCCGAGTCGCATGCTTCTTCCGGTAACCTATAGACACTCCGCGGTGTGAGCAGAGGTTAGATGAGACCGAGACCAGACAGATGACTAGACCTGCCAGGCGCCTCATCACAGAGCTGCTATATTCACTTAGATTCTTTATTTTTTCCCCTCTCCCTCTCCCTTGCCTGTCTTTCCTTCCCTTCTTTCTGTTTCCCTCATCCTCCCTCTCACCCTTTCCTCCCCCCTTTTCCCTCACCCTCAGCCCGAGAAACCTCCAATCTTTGCTTTAAGCAAATGTCTTTCACTTACTCCTCTAATACGAGGCCGGAGGTGAGTTATGACTGCGTTTCCTAAGAGCCAGCTATTGCTTTGAAGGAGAAATGATGCCACATCCCCTAAGTAGTCACTACAGGTGTTAGAAACTTTGCCCTCTGAATGTTCTGAACCAAAGAGTCTCAAATCTGGGCCCCTCTCTATGAAAATGGCAAAATCGAATGGAAAAAAGCGGGAAGGGTGAGGAATTTCTCCCACTCCCCACTGCTGAGGGAGACAGGCGTAGTTTGGTTGTAATTAATTGAAGATTCTTATTAGGTCATCATTAGTCAATGTGCAAATAATTGCTGCCCATTTTTACTTAAAATTGACCAGCCTGAGCGTGATAGATCGATTCAGAGGATAAAAATGATGTATCAAAACATCAATGTCGATTATTTGAAATATTGTAGTCGAATTTTTTTTATTGCTTCATCGGTTAAGTGTCTGAAAGTGCGGTGTTCAAACATATATTTATGTTGTCAATACTGTCAGAACTGTCAGTTTTACTATACCGGATTTGTACTACATTTCAAATTTGCTCATTTGCATAAAATGCCCACCCTAGGATTCCCCCCCACTCCCACCCCATCTCTGGAAAATCCCTGTCAGTTTCTTCAAAGGATTCTGCAATCTTTGCCTAAGCTAAAGTGGGCACTGCTTCTTTTACTCAAATTCCCAGGGCCGATTACATGTCTTTTTCGCCATTTCTAACTTTGGAAGAGGCACTCCCTCCTTTTTGCCCAACTATGCCTAGCATAACCTTTTGTCCAAGACAGCACTAGAGCAATGCAAACACACATTCTAGCTACAAAATACAGCACTTGGGTAGGAAAAATGGATAAAACAGATTCCACCCGACTTTCTTGGCCACCCTCAGATAAACCCAGACGCCACCAAGCCTGGACGTCAGGGCCCGCTATCAAATTACCTGAAAGATTGAAGTCTTCCAAGAAAAATACATGTAGGTGTAAAAATACCTTTTCTTTCTTTCTTTACTTAAAAGCTGCGATGGTAGGAGAGGAAATAACACACATAAGTGATCTGCGCGTTTTACCTTTAAAAGCTTTTGAACCCCATCGAAAGACACAGGTTGCAAGCAGAACTGACAGTTTTAATTCTACCCATTTTCCCGTAGCACGTCAGATCAGAGGCACTCATTTATTTTATGGGGTGGGGCATTAGAAAAGCAGACAGGGTGAATTCGATTATCTCCATCCTAAAAATCCCAGGGAAATTAAACTCCCTTATTGAAACGCAAACATTCCATTGCTCTGTACAATTAGTCTAGACTAATTGAAATTTATAAATTCACATTCTGCCTAATCTTATGCTTTTCATCCCATCAGCCCCCCCCCCCAGGATTCCAGCTAAGTCTGGTAGGTAAGGATGTGATGTTGTTTTAGTAAGCCTAAAGCACTTTCATTATCCTTTTAATGGGTTTAAATAGGTCTGTTTGGACATTCAAAGAAGCTACACATACAAAGATAGGTTGGCTCCGTGCCGTCAATCCCAGCACTAAAAACTATAAAAAACAAAACAAAACACAAAAAAACCTGAGCGTTCCTATATCCATCCTTGCTTCGAACAAATAAGTAAGTAAATAAAGTGCAAGGCAAAAGAAAGTTTGTTGCCTGCATCTGTAGGTCGTGGTGCGCGCGTGTATAAACATCTTGGAGTCAGTGTTGGTTGGTTACCTCCCCCGCCCCCGCACCCCAGGCAAGGGCGTAGAGAAATCGCCTCCCCCCCGCCCCAAGAGTCGTGTTTACTTTTTTTTTTTTAAATCTCTCGGCTATGTATGACAAGCGTTGCTTGAAGAAATTCATCGGCCTTCCCCAGATACTTCCAGGTTTGCCGTAATGATCTGCAGAAGAGACCTGCCACCACTTTCTCACGTCCCAAGGTGTTGGCGGAACTCGGAGCGAGGGGAGAGTGACTGCAATGCTTAATTGCAGAGGGGAGGGCGGGGTGCCTCCTGGGATCCGGGGCGGGGGTTGGGGAGATAAGCCACAACCCAGGAAGGATCTTTCAGGACGTTCAAGTCGCCAGTTGGAGAATATTTGGGCAAGGTATGATTGTCTTGTCCCCCTCCCCCATCCCAATGCCTTTGGGGAGAAGCGATACCCTTGTGTAACAATTAGCTCAGACAATAAAAATAATTGGAAAATCAGTTGGAATTTCTGAGTTTTTAATTACGTTTAATTTTGCACTAAGCCGTAAAATTACGAATGCCCCTCAATTAAACACTTTCCTCTTGCAAAGCGTTTAACAACAATTATTCCTTAATCAGTCTGAATGTGAGTCACAAATGGTGCTTTTCCACATCAAAAGGACGTCCTTCCATGTTACCTTTTAGTCATAAGAGGATTAATTCCTGTAATTAGAGGGATAAATATGTGCATAAATATCTCTCTCACTCTCTTCTTTAAAACAACAACAACAAAACATTTTCACTGTGTGGGAGACATAGTGGGCTCGGGAAGGGGAAGTGGTTGGTTTGGGCCAGACACATCCCTTTGCGTGCTCTGGCCATTGGAATCCCGCGCTGCGGGCGCGCATCTCGGAACTGGGAGGACACGCTCACTCCCACTCAAGGATGCGCTCGTTTCAGGCTGCAGGTCCAAAGCTGGGGCCTCGAGGACCCGAGTCCAGCCGAATTCTTCCAGTTTGCAGTCCACATCCCATTTTCGCCTCTGGCCGGCGCAGCAGGACTTCATTCTGGTCGGTGCCCGGGTCCCCTGGAGTGGAAGTCCCTGCCCTAAGCCGGAGCTCCAGTTTGACTTTTCAGGCTGCAAATAAAAATTGAGCATGACCTTTTAAAATTCCAGTGTGAATATCTCATTTACCTAATGACTTTATGTCACCTACGGAGAAGGTCAATTTCCTCTTAACCTTTCCCCCGCTGCTGCAGTAAGCATTCTTCCCTAATCAATGGTGGCTCGAATGATCAATTCCCATTTTATGATCGCTGACAAAGTCAGTCTAGGGCCGGGGGTTGAGACCAAGCTTCTGGCTCGGCCGGGACAGGGGCTTTGGGAACGCCCAACTCCGCCCGGCGCCTCGGGAGGCTGCTCTCTCTCCACCTAGTTCAGAGACCTTGGCAAACTTCCCTCCCCCACCCGCCGGCGAGACTTCTGAGTTGTCACTAATCCGAACCTGAAATTCACCAGAGCCCCTTCGGTTACCGACAACGCTCCCTACTGCTGCTGGGCCTCCCACTGGCCCCTCCTCCAAATGCTTTCATTTCTAAGTGTACAAGCAGGATTGCCCGACCCTAACGAGAGAGAGAGAGAGAGAGAGAGAGAGAGAGAGAGAGAGAGAGAGAGAGAGAGAGAGAGAGAGAGAGAGAGAGAGACAGAGAGACAGAGACAGAGAGACAGAGAGAGACAGAGACAGAGACAGAGAGAGAGAGACAGAGAGAGACAGAGACACAGAGACAGAGACAGAGACACAGAGACACACAGAGAGAGAGACAGACAGAGAGACAGAGACACAGAGAGAGACAGAGAGACAGAGAGAGACACAGAGAGAGAGTTACTTTTATTTTTCGAAATTAAAATTATCGCTTCCATCTTCACTGTGGGTCTCTCAGCTCCTCCAGGTTAACTTCGTGTAAACAAAGCAACAACAAAAGCCCAAAGGCCTAGGAATCTCTTTCTCTCTCTCTCTCTCTCTCTCTCTCTCTCTCTCTCTCTCTCTCTCTCTCTCTCTCTCTCTCTCTCTCTCTCTCTCTCACTCACACACACACACACACACACACACACACACACACACACACACACACACAAAGGCACTGTATCCCCACTATACCAGGTTACCTAAAGGGTATGCATTAGTATTTGCTCCTATTTAAGTTACCCAAGCCTTCCTCCAATCTGGGGAAACAGGAGACAAATTACTAAATGAAAGCTAGTTTGCTGTAAGTTTGCAACTCTTGATCTTTGTGGGTTGAAGGTGATTACCTCCCTCTTCCTGGCTCTCCTATACCAGCTGACTTTCACACATACCAGGCCTTTCTGAAGTAGAGATTTCTTGACATCAACTCTCCACAGAAACCTGGAAACTCACCTTATTCCATCCCAAACGCATTTTCATGGACTTCCAAGACCAGCAGAAGCTGGTGACTACACATCAAACGATCTGCAGAGCCTTGCCTAGCTAGGATTCAATCACAGGAAATCCACTGCTCTATGAAAAAGATGTCCTATGGGCAGGGTGGGGGGAGTCCCTTTGAGGAGACAGTTTCTCAGTTCTCTATTGACCAGCTAGTTAAAACAGAAAGAAACTTTAACTCCTTAGATTGACTCGCTCTGCCCATGGAGGCTCTCTTTGAAAAGGAATATAAATTACCCTGCTAGCTCAGAGTATCTCATTTCTTGTGGGCAGATATTTTGCAAAAACATGAAAGTCTTTGAAGTAATCAAATGAAAATGTAACTCTTCCACTGTTTATCCACCAATCTGACCTAAGAACAAACGGAAGATAGGATGAGCGGTCAAGGTGACTCATTAGTCATGCCAGCCTTGCTCCTCAGCAGTATGGCCACTCTTGCCTCAGACCCCTGATACAGAGTGGTAGGAACTCATAGGTAACCAGAATAAGGCAAGCTCAGGAACTGACCTGGGCAGAGTACTTAGTTCCCAGTCTTCCTGCTTGTCCTGATCCCCGCCAGGAAGTATGTTTGCAGGTCTTAATGAGCTAGATTCCGGATCCAGCTGGGCACACGGGCTAGTAAAGCCCTTTCTGAACTATGCAGCACCTTGGCTTTTAGAAGGTTTGTCTCATATTTGCAGACTTCACTGAACTACAACCTGTCTGGGGGTCAGGAAGTGCTTGTACTGGAAGTTTCCCATGACTAAGAGAACTCAGTGGGGCTTTTATCTCAATATGTCAGAGAAGCAGACAGGTAGGGGATGGGCCCCTTGACCTCAGATAATTACCAAGTCTTTCCTCTCCAGCAAATTTAATTCTCACATGAAGAGTAATTAACAACCTCTGATTACTCATTCTGAGAATTTCCTTTTCTTATCTTAAGAGCTTCCACAGAGATATTGAAGAATATGCTTGGTGGTCATTTTTACTTTCATTGTATTTAAATATCTTGCATTCTTCCCATTTTTCTCCAGTCTCCTTGAACACATATAGTACAGTCTTGAGCTATATTCTAATCTAATATGTCAACTGCATACCCATCTCCACCCCAATAGAGAGCAAAGCTGTCACTCCCTTCTCCATAGAATGCATTCCAAGAAACCAGGTGAATGCCATGCTATGAAGCCATGGAAAGTACTGATCACTATTTGGTATGTGTTGTTATTTTGCTACAGTTACCGGTAATGAAACATGAACCTCGAGTCAACAGTCCCACATGGAGTTGATTGGTAGAGAAGAGAAGAAGGGGGGGATGAGAAGGGGCCAACTGGAGCAGAGAGAGAGGGGGAAATGGTGTGGAGCTTTAAAGGGGAAGCCAGCACATACGAACTGAGTCCCATGAGTGACACAATGATGATGTGGTCACATCACTGTGTGTGGGGTCAGTATGATGCGGGAGTTCCAGCAGTATGTTTTCTCCTGTATACATTTACCTATGATAAAGACTAATCTGTAAATTAAACACTACAAGAGACTAACCACCAAAAGAAAAGAAAGCAATTATAAAAATACGCAGCAGCTAAAAATTCTTAAAACTTATGAATTGCTTAGTTCCTGACTTTTCCATTTAATGTCTTGGGACTATGGTTGACCATGAGTAATCCAAATGATAGAAAGCAAACCCTCAAATAAGAGGGCACTACTATAAACTAAACTAGACTACAGAAAGTCTTCCAAATAAAGATCACTTTTGAAGAAAGTTTGTTTTGTTAATAGTAAAAAGGTACCTCACCCCCCATGTCCCTACAATCATTTCATTTGGGATTATAAATCAAAGTATGTGTCTAAAGACAAGACAGTCCTGGAACAGGAAGAATGTTCACACAAGCCACTGGATGTTTAAAGGTACAAAAGGAAAACTTCATGTCCCTTTGTGGAAAGACATCTTGTTCAAACATCTCCAAAGGTGAAAGAGTCTCATCATTTCTGAGGTTTTCTTTTTTGTTTTTGTTGTTGTTGTTGTTGCTTTGAATCTCAGAAGAACATAAAGGAACTCCAGGGACTGAGGGGACTCAGAATGTAACCTGAAGGCAGGTCCTGGATCTGTCCCCAACTGATTATATACTCTTCAGGCACCCAAGCCCTTTTCTTTAAATTGAGGCATAACACTTGTCCATCTTTATGGGATTCGGTACCATGATTTAATATATATCTATAACATGTGATGATCAAACAGGACAAAAAGCACTTCCAAGTCATCAAATATTAATAATTTCTGTGTGCTAAAACTTTCATGTTCTTCTAGCTGTTTTGAAATGTATCACAGATTGTTGCAACCCATCATTCCCTACTATGCTATAGACAACCAGAATGAATTCCATCTGTCTAACTATGCTTTGGTTTCCTTTAATTTCTTTCCATCACCTCTTCCTCTACTCTTTCTAGTCTCTAGAGATTACTATTTTACTACATTCTTTGATGAGATAAGCTTTTTGTCTCTACATCATGTATTTATTTGTCTGTGTCTGGCTTATTTCACTTAACATAATGATTTCCGGTTCTATATATGTTGTTACAAATGACAAAATTGCATTTTTCTTATGGTAGAATAATGGTCACATACACACACATACACACAACTTCATTGTGTCTCATACTTTCTTCACTCATCAATCCATCAATATTCATCTTGGTTGGTTTGATAGACTATTAGTGTTTTCACTCTCCAAGTGACCTGCATATCATCTTTCGGTAATACAAAAGCTAGCTAAAGTAAAGAAGTGTTTTAGTCAGTTTAAAACTGATTTTGTTATACCCTGCAACCAAAATTAAAGGGGTTTTCAGCAATACAGTCTAGAGTTCTGATGGGTAGTATTCTATTTTGCTTTGGAGACTTCTGAGATCTCTCTGACCAAATAACTCATAGGGAGATATAGCATGCCTAACACTGAGATTTACATTCGATAACTCATGTTTTCTGGGAGCAGCTTCGTCCCCAAGAACATTTGTCATTGTTTTGTTCTTTTGATGACAGCCATTCTAACTTGAATGTTATATCTCACTGTAATTTTAATGTACATTTCTTTGAAGATTAGTGATTATTTAGTATTTTTTCATATATTTTTGGCCATAGATGTGCCATATTTTGAGAAATGTCTATTCACATATTTGGCTCAACTCTATTAGTTTATCTATCTATCTATCTATCTATCTGTCTATCATCTGTTTATTTATTTAAGACGTAGGTTCTCTATATAGCCTGAGCTGTTCTGAAACTCACTATATAGACCAGACCTGCCCCTAACTCCCAGAGATCTGCCTGCTTCTGACTTCCAAGCGCCAGCACTAAGGGCATGTGCTACCACACCATGTTTAGTTTATTTATTTTAAAAATGTTTTTCTTTATGTGTATGAGTGTTTTGCCTGCATGTGTGTCAGTGTGTTACTTGCATGCCTAGTATTCCCTGATGCCAGAAGAGGCGGTCAGAGGCCCCTAGAACTAGAGTTACAGATGGTTGTGATCAGCAGTGTGGGTGCTGGGAATTTTATCTGGGTCCTCCAAATGAGCAGTAAGTGTTAACCACTGAGCCATCTCTCCAGCCCCTGTTATTGTTTCATGCAACATTTTAAAGCCCCTTATCTTTATACTAATCTCTTACTGGATAAGCAACTTGCAGATATGTTCCCTGTTCCCTTCATTCTGCAGGTTGTTTCCTTCGCTGTGCACAAACTTCTCAGATCGGCAGGATCCTGTTTGCCTTTTGATATCTGTTTCACGCCACTATTCTAATGCTTTGAACATCAATAACCTTAAGGAAGAAATTGTGATAGTATCTGACATTGATGGGCATCTTCTGTTGGCTCCTTAATACTCACTCTACTTTTTCCTTCTTGTTTTATGAGCCTAGGAGTTGGTATGGATAGGTTCAGAAATTGACAGTAGACATGCTTTCCTGTTTAGTACATGCAGAATGGGTCAAGTTCAGTTTGGGTGTTGATTCCTAGGGTCCCAGTGGACTGGTTGCATATTAACGTCTACTCATAATACTCTTTCTGGGCTCAGGTAACTGTGTCATTCTCTGTCTTTGGGGCATCATAGTTTCCCTCTGTGGCTTACTTAATACTCTGCTCACACCTTTTAT